TTTGAGATTCCATTGTCCGGGGCAGGTTCTAGGACTGGGGCATTTTCCGGAAGGTTGCCATTGTTCAATCTCCCAATCTCCCCAAGGGGTTCATCCCCAGTTGGGCCATATGGGTGGAGCTCGACTTGGCAGGAAGCGAGATGCCCGGAGAAAGCGGGAAAGCCCAGTGTCGCCTGGGGTCTGTTGTGGATGATGAGGTTGTTGAGGCTAGGTGGATGCCCTGAAGTCTCTAGGGAAGATTCTGATTTCCGTCACTTTGATTCCTAATCAGAAGGTTCAGATTCCCTGTGATGACTGTTCACAATCCATTCTGATAGCTCATGCCACTTGACTGCTCCCAAACTCCAAATAGGGCACAATTAGGTGCTCTTTCACCCAAGAAATACTGATGTGGTATTCTGTCAGCTGATGCAGCTGGATGCTTGCTTTGTTGTTTTAGAGGAGTCGTTGGGAATGCACGGCCCCCCCCCAACAGACACATAGGAACAGGGAGCCGGCCCTCAAGGACAAACATGCGGTTCTTTCAGTTCAATTCGGGTGTTGTTCAACTCAGGGAGTTTTCAGTGACGGAGTGCTTCCAACCTAATAGCAATGGCCTCCAACCTACTAGCGATGGCCGCCAACCTAATAGCGATGGCCGCCACTGCCCTCAGACGTGGAATTCAGGGACACCTCAGAGATGTGCAACTTACAGTTCATAGTTCATGAGACCCATGTTTGTTTTCGAAACCGTCCTTCAAGAGACCCACGTGAAATTCGATGAACCAATGGCTGATCTGCTTCGTGTCGTTTTCAACCACTGGCTTCCTGGTGTCGATTTGCAACCAAGCGAGCCCTAACCGGGCTCAATCTGAGACCTGCCCGTGGAGCGGACCTTCATCCAGCTCGGGGCCGAGTAGAAAAGGAATGGTGGTGGGACGCAGGGGCTGTTTTGCGTGAGATTACGTGAGATGTGGTCATGAGCTTTTGGTCGAGAAGTTGATCTATGTCGCTGTAATTAAAATATAACTGCATATCTATATTATTTAACAGATATAATATTTGATTATATTCGGACATTTTTTGCACCACTTGGGATTATCGTGCTTGCTGCCATGACTTCTTCCTTTCCTTCAATCCAACAGATTCCACAGAAGAACATAGGACAATGTACTGTAGGTAGTTTTGAATATGATATGCTAGGGCAACCACTTGCAATGACACCAGTGGAGCATCGAGGTTCAGCACCCATGGTGACAGCTGCAAGCGCTCGAGGCGCACAAATTGGCAAACACGGGCAAAACAACGGTTCAACATGTCCTCGTGAAACCGTTTCAACCCTTGAATTTCCATGAATTGTTGGCGAAGCAAACTGAGATATCATTCGATGGTGTTGTCCGGCTGTGCACGTCGACAGCTGAGCTCCGATGATTGCTTGGGCCACCCAGGTCTCAGTGAAGCCTGGGCAAGTGTTGTGCGACACCGAATTGGATTTTAACCAGCAGCTTGCAGGGAGTGTCTGAATGGGCCAAGGATCTTCTTCTGCGAAGAACACATGTTTGATTGACGGATTGATGTTGATTTGACTCAGACAATGAATCAGCGGCCGGTTTGATGCTCAAAGAGTGGCCTAAGCGGACAGTGTTTCAAAAGAATTTCGCTCTGGTAGACCTTTTCGACTTCTGTTTCAACTAGTGCTCCTTGTCCAGCCGTACAGTGCACGAGTTCCTCCTGGTGCATCCTGTCCCAGAAACTGGCACGGCTGCAGTAATTCTGTGCACCTGAGCAAGAGTGTTCCAGGTAGACTACTCTAGGGGTTTTCGATTATTGTATCCTTTGTTGGAATTTGAAGGAAGGTCCCAGAATGCCTTCTCAATCTTTCCATCTCTGAGGTGCCAGATTTTTCGAAGTTTGAACAGTTCGTCAGGCAGAAAAACCTTGCTGTGGCGGGCGCGCTTACTTGGCCATGAGCTTTGGGCGCCAAGTTGTGCTTTGCGGTGCGCGCCGCTTTGGAGCACGGCGCAGGTTCCGAAGCTGGTCTGCCAGGCTGTTTTGGTAGCCGGGAATTCGAGGGGTCTGATTCGCCTGGGAGGTGCAAAAATTGCATGGCTCCCTTAATACTGTAACAAAGGGTGTGTCTTTGGTGGGTCCTGACGCAACATATGTAATCATCATTACGGCTTGCAAGTGCCCTAGGTCCACCAAAAGACACACCTTTGGATATTATCAGCGACTAGTCCTTCCCACAGTTGGTCCCAGACGCAACTGCATGCGTGATCCTCGTGGTCATGGAACAGTCGTCCTCGCGGGCAAGGGGCAGAGAGAAGGAACACAAGACTAACACTTTATACTCTTCTGCAGCATCAGATCTTGCAAGCAGAGCGACATCCCAACCCGCCTTCATAAGGTACCTTGTGATCTTTCTGTTGATCGGGCATCGTCGCCTCACGTGGAAGAAGAGCACCACCAGTCACAGCATGCCTTCTAAGATTCTTGGATTTCTCATGGCATGATGCCCCCGGAAGTTGAGGCCTCAACAGAAGTGATGTGTACAAACGTTTAAACAGGAGTGTAAGAACGGCCCTTGACCCTACATCATACATCAGTACCAGACAGTAGACCTGCCCTACTCTTCTTCTCACATGCCTTCGCAGTGATGAAATTTGTAGGTAATTCCTTCACTGGTCCACAGTTAGTTGCCACTAGAGGTACATAGCAGAAAAGTGCGGATCACGGAGTCATACGGACTTACGAACAAACCGGTTCGTTCTGGGGTCATTGGGGTCTTCAGCCGACAGAGATTACGTAGCGGCTATAGCGCTTCAGCAATTGTTCTGAATGTGCTTGTATCTTGACATTTCGTCCGGACAACTGACCCTTGCGCAGAGTTGTCGAGGCGCCTGTGACCAGTTACAGTTGAACGAAAGAAGATCCCGCCAAAACATCGCCGACGGCCGGCAATTTTGGGTGGTGCCGTCGAATGTTCGTTTCCAGGTCCAAAAGAATCCAACATCCACCAAGCATGGGGCATGGGCTCCAGTTCTTAGTCATTAGTGGAACATTCGAGAGTTTGAAGGCATCTAATTCGCATGTAGAGGGCGGCAGAGGGCGGCCAATGCCTGCCGAAATGGACAATCAAAGGGACGGGGCAACTCGAATTCGTGATCAAAGCATTGAGTTCAGCTGCCAATGTCTCAAATTCTCAAATTTGCACTTCCACCAGATCTGCATTTATTCGCTTCAAATCTTGTGACACGCCTTTTTATTGCCCTGATACCTTGGTGTCCAGCCTCTTTTGAGGGACAAAACTTGGTGCGCGCACTTGTGATGTCAGCTATCAAGCATTGCTCTTCTTGGTTGCAAAATGTTGCAAAAAATGACATAGAATATCACCTATCTTATCACACCAATGCCAACATACCAAGAACTGGAACAGTATGAGATAGTATGGTCTGCAAATTGTCTTTTGGAACTCTACATTTGCTTTGACAGAGTGTATGCGATTCAAAGCTACCCTTCATTGCGCTTGGTGTTGAGTTTCCGACTGCTATCAGGTGCAGAATTTGATATGTCTACCAGCAATCGCACCATCAGAGCTTTAGGATTCTTGACAACGGCCCATGGCCGCCATGGCCAAGACTAGACCTCCTTGGTGGTTTCTCAACTGGCCGAGGGGGCTCACGAGAAGCTCTGGGTTCGCTGGTTACTGCTAAGGCTTTATCGACAGAGCAAGCAGACCCGTGTGGCCGACTTCTTGTCGAATGATTTATCCGAAGAGCCTTGGAGAACAAAGGCCAGCTGGTCGTGCGCGGAAGCGAGCGGTCACAAGACACCATAGACGACTTGAATTCTTAAGAAGATGACATATAGCACTATACATATGCATAGGCCATAGAATGCAGAGTCTAGCTTTGCACTTCCAACCGGCTGCAAGTGGTTACCATGTCAGTTGTGAGGCTCCGGGGTACCTGGAGGGATTGAGATTCGTTTGGAGGCAGAGAAGAATGCTTTCGAGCTAGTCATTGCCCCAGGCATCAGTGAGATCAGTTCAAGTCCCATGCCTGACTCAGCGGTGGCTGAAGTTATTGCTACTAGTAGATTCATGCCCTTTCTGATCATCGTGAATGTGCGAACAGTGCGACTCCTCCAAATCTGCCGCTGGTTCATACTACTATATAGTGGGAAATAGAACAAATTTCTAGCGGGTGAACATCGGCTTAGTCACACTAGCGCAAGACATGATGGTTTTTATTGCTTTTACTCTCCTTTCCTGAACATCACAAGATCTGCCACAGATTAGAATGATTTTGTTCACGGCCTTCAGGGCAGCGGGGGGAGCTTCCTTGAAGAAGCGTGAGCTATCCTGCGTCCATATGTAGCTTAAGTAAGGTACTAGCGACCGTTTGCTACTAGTTACTAGCTACCTACCTAGCTAACCTACCTCACCTCTACTACCGCGGCCTACCGGTTTCTCGTTCCGAGGTGCGGCAGCGGCGCTTCGAGCTGGGCTGCGCTTTCTTCATCTTCGCCCAGCGGGCCAAGGATGCCATCGATGTCGGAACACCGAGGAGGTCTTTTGAAGGGAGGATCTGATTAATTATTGGAAACTGAAGTATGGATGGCTTTGCTTTCTTTGGGATTTCTTTGTGAATGAGAATCCAAATTCTCATTGATGCAAAGCAAAGAAGCATTAGTAGGCACCGAAGCCTCTGATTTCCCGGCTCAAGCGTAACCTGAGGGCCGTTTGGGGCCCACATGACCTTGAGTTTGAGGGCCACTGAATGGCCACTGCTTCATTTTGACGGCAGTCCTCCACCTTCAACCTCTTGCAGAGAGGATTTCACTGATTATAAAGCGTCGTCAGGCTGCATGTGAGTAGTAGTTCCCAAGATGTTAGTAGCATCCTTGCTTAGTAGTAAGGCCAGGAGCCCCTAGTAGCGTCCTTGCTCCTAGTAGCGAAGCCAGGAGCCCCTAGTAGCGTCCTTGCTCCTAGAGTAGTTGCAGGTGTGTTCCCTCCGTGAGACAAGTCCTTGTAGCTTGTAGTCCATGGCTGCCCCTCGCGGTGCCTTAGCCTCCTGTCGGGGGGCAGCACATGTGGCCGCTCAGCAGGGGAAAGAGGAAGCACTTCGGCTGCTGTATGAGCTGGACTGAACCGGGTGAGTCGGTGAGTCAGTTGCTTCCCATTTCTTTACTTTCCTTCCCCACCCAACATCAGACCTCCCACGTTGGAAGTTACATTTTCGCACCCCCTGAAGCCCGAGAAATCTGAGAACATGTATATTTTTGGGGTGTTCATTGTACTTTACACTAGAGAATTGGTAATTAATTATGTCGTATCTGCCAAAAGCCATTGGCTCGATACTACATGTAAACTGAACTTTCGAAGGCCTCTAAAACAGTGGTATGTATCTAGGTATGTGCCCAGAAATCCAAAAACAGATGACATACCGTACCAGAGAAAACGAATGAAAACAGTCCATAAAGTGTCCATGCGTGACCCTAGCTTCACTAAAGGATACTAAAGGGGATGAGCAATTGGGAGATTCTTGATAGAGCATTTGCCACCGTTTTGCGGGTCTTGTCATTCGAGTTCTTTCAAGAGCCATTCCAGTTTCCCTTTCCGAAAGGCCTTTTCTTCGCCGGTCATCTCGCCTCCTTTCTTGGAGATCTCGAACGGATGGATCCACATGATCCACATCCAACCGCCCATGGCCACGGATCCGTGAGCGTGCGCGCTTCACCAGGACCCCGAGAGCTTACGACGCCCGGCGATGGATGGACGATGCCCTGCACATTGGGCCGCCCTGAGCGGGCAGGCTCTGGAGCTCTGGAGAAAACACCTTAGGATTGAGTCACCTGAGGTCTGAGGTTGGAGAATTGTGATCTACTACTGGCTACTGGAATTTGAAAAGTCATTTGACTGCTTTCTAAGACTTCTCACAGCATGTCTGACACGTCAACCGACTTGCGGTTTTGATTCCTGTCGGGTGACACTCGTGACACTCGCTTTCCGACCCGCGATGGTTTCTGGCCTCAAGAGCTGCTGAGACTGGAGATTTGGTGGGCGACTGCGGTCGTAAAGACTTGGACGACTGGTGGTTTTTGTTTTGATCCTGGAAGCTCAGAAGCTCTGATTTGAAGACTTCCACCAACATTGTCTTTGCAATTTTTTTGTCATGGCACGAACAGGAAGATATCCTTCCATGCTCGAACAGCTGAACAGCCAGATGAATGTTTTGCAGGTTGCTATTCTGGAGCTCTTGCAGGGCCTCGTACCTGACACGCTTCGTGCCAAAGCAAGGAATGGTGCCACTCCAGCACATGACGCTGCGTTTCAGGGCGCTCCAGCTGAATCACTGCAAGGTGGAGTAGATCAAATCCATGGGGTGTCGGGCTCAATGGATTACGGTGAGGGGAACCCTCCCACAAAAGTGCCCAACCATTCTTTCCGTGGATCAGGTGCAGATCCACGCCTCGTGAAGGTTTGCAAGTTACACGCCTCGGGTGGTTTGGGCAACACCAACGCCTGTTCGATCACCACATCCCCGAGGTCAACTTGCCATCCTGCAGCTCCTTCATGAGTTGGCACCAAGCACCTTGCGGGCCAAGTCCAATATAGGCGATCCTGGTCTTGTTCAACAGAGAAATGCAAAATGGTTGAGTTCCTTCAACAGCAGAGTAGAAGTGAAAGATATTGAAAGCATGTCGATGGTTGGTACATTGAATCAATGTACACTCTTGGGATAACAACTTGCCGGTATTTGATCTGGTGAAATGACGCCGCGACGCCTCCTGCCAGGTGCCACGCCCGCGCACGACGCGGCATTTGGAGGTCAGGTTGAGACCTTGTGGCTAGGGATGAAAGGGCTGGAGCGGTCGTTATCGGCAAATTCGGCAAAGATTCGCCAGCTTTTCGAAGCCTAAACTCGATGGATCTAGAGTCTAGAGTCGTTTTGGATGCAGTTGCCCTCAGATTCTCTTGGGGCGACTCGAGCATGCGCCCAAGAGCAAATCATGTCCGTGTAGTTCGGCAGGATTTGACGGAGTTCCCCCCCTTGAGATTCTTTTGCTGATCCAAATTATACTACAGTATATAGTATTGGAGGGGTTGTTAGGTCAGGCGGGCAACACTTACAGAGGGTGTGGCAAGAGCATCATTCTCAAGATTCATATAAGTCTTAAGTTTTGCAGTGCATTTGCATAGTTTGTTCACCTATCAATCGATTCAGTCAACTCATTGATCTCCACCGCTGATTCGAGTTTGACGGCTAAGGCTCCTGCTGCATCAGCTGGTTCCAGAGACGCTTCGGGCACGCGACAAGCAGGGGCACACATTGGCACATGAGGCGGCAGATGCGGGGCAGGAGAGGCCTGCGTGGCGAAGAAACCTCGACTCATCGATGGATTTGACGTGACCCGTACATCCCACACTCCCACTGAAGCGAGGGGACAAATCAGGCGCTCCGCCAACATGCATAATCCTTGGAGCTTTGTGAACTGCGGAGAAACATGCAGTTCCCAAGTGGAGTGCCGTTTAGAAAGCTAGGCAGGAGGAAAGGAAAGGAGAGGGAAGGGAAGGGAAAGGGAAGGGAAAGGAAAGGAAAGGAAATGGAAGGAAGGAAGGACACCCAGACTGCCTCCAGTCGCACCAACTCTGAAGTTACAGAAGACCAGAATCAGAACCTTTGCTAGTAATTACAATTCTAATTGAATTCTTATTGTTACTAGTAGTAAGGCACTTGTTTCTAATAGCTTCTTGTTACTACTAGTAAGGCACTTGTTCCTAGAAGCGATGCACTTGTTCCTACTAGCTTATTGTTTCTAATAGCTTCTTGTTACCCTGCGCCAAAACCGCGGGCAGGACTCAATACTTCGATGCCTTTTACTCCTTGCGCCGGAGACCTTGTTTGCCAGGCACATCGGCTTCGGCTGTCACTTCCTGATTCACCAGGTTTTCTTCATAGTCATTTTGTGCCAGGGATGGTGCTGGATGGCTACCGGTAGATGTAGCTGCTGCTCACGGCCACGAATCCACCGTGTCTTTGTTGGCTTCGCTTCCACCATTGGACTCAGAGGCGGACGAGGTTGAGCGCAGTGACCAAGAGACGAGGTTGGAGAGCGAAGTTCTTTTTTTGAACATTAGGCATCTGCACACTTTTGCACTCTCTTCTGGCAACATTTGGTAACATTAAACGGGTTTACGCTGGGAACAGGAGATCTTGAAACCATTCCAAGAGGGCTGTTCATCTCTCACTTGACATTCGTTTGTCACTCACCAAAGCACCTGGGGCCTGGCACGCTTCATGAACCCCTACAAACATCTACAGACACCATTTCGGCCCTTTGCCTCTGGCATGCCTCACAAGGTGCGGAGGCGGAGAAAGCAAAGAGGAGACAGCCGAGCTTCAAGACACATTAAACCTGAGATGATGATGTGTCCAACTTACAGACCTCAGACATCCTTTCTGACATCCTGAGGGGCTTTTCGCACCTGGAGAGTCATGTTTTTTGGTCGACCCGATTGACCCCTTGGAGGAGCAGGCAAGTCTTGGATGGTTTTGGCTGTTTTGACTTTGGAGATTCTTGAAATTTATTGAAGTCACGAATTGAAATCTTTGCTCTTCATGAGTACCTCGACCCAACTTGATACTGCAGTGGGAGATGTACACCACCAGCTCTGTCGATGGAGTTGCTATGAGTTGCTACACTTGAGGAAAGGCTTTAGAAAAGTCGGTTCCGCCGCGCGCTCGGTCTCAGCTGCCGCAGCTGCCGCGCTGATCTCGGCCGCGTTGGCGTCAGCCGCCGAACCGCGCTTGTACACAGACACTCTCACTCCTTCCACCTGTTCAGGATTGTTCAGGTGTATTGGGGCTGTAAAATGCTGCAAAGCTCCTTCGTTTTCTCTCCTGGTTATCATGCGAGCTCTACTGTTTGGCCCAAAAGCATGGTGACAGTGCCAGCGCTGGAAGCCGATGCTTTGCGTTTTGAGTTCTGTCGATCTTGCAGAGAGTTTGGCATTCGTTTTTTGGCAACCGAAGCGAACAGATCCTCGTGGTCAAAGGGCCACGGTACTGCACAGGACCGTGTGTGGCTTGAAAAGGACGTTGTATTGCTGACGTGTGGTTTTTAGTCTCGGTTGCGCCCTCAACCGAGACTCCCCATAGAAACTCCGAACGAAAGATCAGATGTGAGACTCTCCGAAATGAGAAAAACAGGATCAGATTTGGCTACACAGCTTTGAGACGCCTGGTGCCGGAAGTGAGAGAAGTCTCCAAAGATGATGGCTGTTGGTCTCGCCTCACTTAGGTTTGCGTCCGCTACATGGATGACTGGTCATTGGCTTTGCAGCTGAGCTGAATCTCATTGAAACACCATGAAATCATATGAAACCATATGAAATCCATGAAACACGGATGGCCGCATCGGCAGCCAGGTTCATTGCTCACTCGTCGCTGGGCGACCAAGCCGACCAAGTGGCGGAAGAGCTCCGACGAGTCCGGGGCACCTGGAAGATCGCGAAGTACGACGGGGTTTTCCGGATGCTTCTGGGTTTGGGGATGCAACATGAAGCAAATATGTTTTAAACAACATTGAAGTATGGAGACAGGGGTTGTGACCATTATAGTAAGAAGACTCGGGGTAGTCTGACGAAGTTCAGTTTGCAAAACGTTTGGATGCATTTGGCTGGATGTCAGTCGTCTAGATGAAGGCAGCCTGGCTTGGGACAGGTACTGACGGACGACCTTCTCCCAGTTGCCAAGCGAGCACAAGACCCGTGGCTAGCATCATTAGCAGCGATCTGAGATTGGCGCAACCAGATGGACGATTGTGGAAGACATTGGATGAGGCAGTGGTTGATGCAAGTTGCAGAGTGTATGTAAGCCTGTGATGATAGATGGGAGTTTTGTGCGCGGGCACTGCGACACCATTTACTGTAGAATATCGGACGCTCAGGTTCAGTGGCATTTGGGAGATCATCAACAAGCTCTGAACAGCGTGCCGCTCTTGGAGTGAGCCGTTCGACATCGTTTGGGGCTGATGGTTCTTAAAGTCAGTGGGTTTCCACTGGGTTTCTGACATGGTTTCTAATTGAGCCTTAAGTGGCTTTCTGTTCAGCGTTTCATTGCGACAACAATTTCTACACACTGCTTTGTTTTCTGAGAACTCCTTCTCTGGTGAAACTGTTCCAACTAACTTTAAGCCACGTGAGTTGAGGTTCTTCACCTATGAGCAGGATTGCCGTTGTTCTCGGATTGGGTGAAGCCGATGCCGCCAAGGTCGCGAGACCTGTAAGCCAGGAGGATGTTCAATCAGATATGCCAGGAGCTCTCGATTGGTTGGTTGAGTGTGTGCAACAAGTGCTATGGTCTTAACAAGAATACCAGATCAATGGACGCCTAAACAAAACACATGCAAGATGATGCAAGATGTGTGTTTGTTTGTTCAAATCATGTAACACCATGCTCAAGTGCTCAAGTGCCTCCACGTCGAGTGAAGCCTCAAAGCCTTGGACAGTGTTTTGTATTGGACCTGTGGGCTGCACCAGTGCCCTTACTAAACTGCCTGACGGAATTGCAACAGGTACAGTAGGCACGGATTGCCGTGCATGTGATATTGAGTGATTTGTCAGTGCTCGTGGCAAGAGTCGCCCCTCACCGGAAGAAAACTAGCTGAGTCGCACGTATGTGTGCTGTGAATTGGACGACAATGCCGGTCATAGGCATGGGGTAACCTGACTTTTCAGTGCACGGGGTGCTCGGGTGATCTGACTGGGCCACTGCCACTTTTCATCATTTCTTGAGGAGGGACCTTGCACCTCTTCAGCAGGACGCCAAGCTTGTTGGATTGAACTTGATGAAACAGGTGAGGATTGGGCAAGATCTATATGTAACATAAATAAATATATATATAATTAGATCTACAACATCCATGCTTTCACATTGATGCTGGCTTTGGACACTTACAGGGCGCTGCTGCTACTCTCCACCGCCATCCTGAATCTTACTGAAGCTATCCTCTTCCATAAAGCAAGAATGCAAGAACAACCTGGGACACCCATGTTTCAGGCGGTTGTAGCATAGGAATCCCAAGAAGCATCGCAGAGACAGTCAAAATCTATGGTGTCCAGAGGTTTGTATCTGCTTTGAACGTTTTTGGAAGCGCACTCCCGGTGCACTTTCGGTTGCGTTCTTCACCACGGTTGCCAACCACCCAAGATCCATTAAGAAAGGACAGATCACCATGAACCAGAGAGGACTGCCTAATTTTATAGCTACTGCGTGAGAATCTACTGCATCTCTAGGCTTCAGGAACATCTGTGTTTTTTGGTGTGTTGATTTGTTGGCTCAGGTTCAGGAGCCCTGCAACATGCTGGCTTCTCCCCGGGTCGCCCGGAAGATTTGAGAGCGATGAAGTGACCCTTTGGTTTGGTCCCAGGCAACTGTGGACATATTGGACGGAAAACATACATAACAGAACATAACAGAACTGAACTGAACAGAACTGAACAGAACAGACATACATACATACTCGATGTGGTAACCCTTTTTATTGCGCCAGGTTTAGGAACCAGGGGTAGTGGCTAAAAGAACAGGGAAGGTTTTCCATGATTCTGCGCCTAACCTTGCAGAAAATAGCGGAGATTGGGACCGCTCCATCTTGTGGGCCTCCGTAAGAGGAAATCAAAAGGATTCAACAGGAAATTAATAGGATTCAAAAGGAAATCAAAAGGAATCAGAAGGACATCAATATGAAATTAAACGGAAGCAAGTGGAAATCGAAAGGAATGATTCAAAAGGAAATCAAAAGGAATCGGAAGGATATCAAAAAGGAACTAAAAGGAATCAAAAGGACATTAAAGTAAATCAAATGTTTATAGGGACATCAAGAGGAAATCAAAAGGAAGCAACCGGAAATTAAATGGAATCAAAAGGAAAACAAAAGGACATCGAAAGGAACTTAAAAGGACTCAAAAAGACATCTAAAAGGAATCAAGAGGACATCAATTGGATTCAAAAGGAAAGCAAAAAGAATCAGAAGGAACTCAAAAGGAACTTAAAGAGAATCAAAAGAAATTAACACTGGTATCCGGATCCGCGCAGGTCTCCTGCAGAAATTTAATGTTCTGCACTCCAAATAGTAGTTGCGCCATCTATCTATGATTGCCGAATAGCGAGAAAAAAGAGATACATGGTGCGGCTGTTCCCGCTATTGTATTTTTGGAGTTGCGCCAACAACTTTTCCCCGGTGTACATACAGACATACAAACATACATACATAATGTTGGATCTTAATTAGTAAAACGCTCCCCCTAGCAAACAATCCAGGGAGTATGAATAGAATCCCCGCCACAATAACGATTGGTAGTGTTCGGAGCAGTAGCAGTAGCAGTAGCAGCAGCAGCAGCTGCAGCAGCAGGAGTAGTAGTAGCAGTAGCAGTCAGCCGTCAGCCGTTAGCCGTTAGCCGTTAGCCGTTAGCCGTCAGCAGTCAGCAGTCAGCAGTCAGTAGTCAGTAGTCAGTAGTCAGTAGTAGTAGTAGTAGTAGTAGTAGTAGTAGTACTAGTACTAGTGGTAGTAGTAGTGGTAGTAGTAGTAGTAGTAGTGGTAGTAGTAGTAGTGGTAGTAGTAGTAGTGGTAGTAGAAGTAGTAGTGGTAGTAGAAGTCGTAGTGGTAGTGGTAGTGGTAGTGGTAGTTGTAGTAGTAGTAGTAGTAGTTTCAGTTCTAGTTCTAGTTCCAGTTCTAGTACTAGTACTTGTACTAGTACGAGCAGTAGTGGCAGTAGTAGTACAAGTAGTACTTGTAGTCGTAGTAGTAGAAGAGTTAAGGAAGTTTTGAAAGGGAAGCAATTGCAGAACAATAATAAAGTTAGTTTGTACCTTAGGGCTCCAAGTTTGCTCACTTCCCCTGGGCTGGTGTACTACCCAGTTTAAAAATTGTTTGGAGCAATGAAATCGTGGGGTTTTAATAAGCGTGTTTGAAAAAGATTTCCATGAATCAAGCAAACCTCAGAAGAGTTAAGGAAGGATTTGAAAGGGAAGCAATAGCTGAACAAAATCAAAGTTATTTTTCCCTTAGGCTCCAAGTTTGCTTATTCATCCCACCGCCTAAACAATTGATATTATTCACTTCCCCTGGGCTGGTGTACTGCCCAGTTGAAACATTGTTTGGAGCAATGAAATCGTTGAGTTTTAATAAGCGTGTTTGAAAACGATTTCCAGGCCAGACGTTGATGACTCAAGCAAACCTTAGAAGAGTTAAGGACGGGTGTTAAAGGGGAGCAATAGCAGAATAATAGAAACGTAAACAACACCCGCAACAAAAACACCCTGAATGAAAAGACTTTTCAGTAGTCCTTCCCACTAAACTATTCAGGGTGTTGGAATAATTTGGCGACCAATTTTATTATTCCCTCCCACTTGACTATTTAGGATCCGACATACATACATACATGCAACCATACATCTATACATCTATACATACATACATACATACATACATACATACATACATACATACATACAT